CCAAGGGCTGACAGAGATAGGAAGCAGCGGGAACTTGGTACTTTGCTGGTCCAGTTTGATCCATCCACATTGATCATCAAGGACAAATTTCAGAAACATAATGCAGAATGAAAAACTTGCAGAACAATATATACAATGTATTAATTAGCACTTCATTAAATTTTAAATACACTAACTTTGAGAGGGAGGAAGTGGGAAGAGATGAGGATGAGAATTTACAAGTTTCTGTAATGTTTTATTTACTTAAACTAGAGTGTGATATCTATAATAAATGCTAACACTTTAATCTCATGGTAGGCATATTGCAGTCTCCTATTATTTCTTTCATGCTTAAATGTTTAATAGCTTGAAATTAAGAGTACATAGATACTTTACTACAACTGTCAAATGTTTTTAATAATAAATTGAGTTTTGAATGATGAGTAAGGTTGAACCAGGTGCACGAGGTGTGAAAGGGGGTTTAGGCTGAGAAAATAACATAGTCATGGAGATGGTCAAACAGCATTAAATATTTGAGGCAACTCTTTAGTTTCTAGACAATAAATTTAAAAAATGCTAATCTTTGGTGACATGGGCAGATGGAATGGAAGTGTAGATGGAGGTCAGTTGTGGGGACTTTCAATGCTCTGGTAGGGAGCCTACATTCTATCCTAGATCAACTGACGTATCTTAAGTAGAAGAGTAACCTAGTAGGAGAGTAACCTAGTCATATTTGAAATTTAGAAAGAGTGATAAAGCTACTTTGTGGAAAATGGATTTGGGAATGGTTGTGGCAATAATGGGGCCAGAAACACCAATTAGGAGGCTATTTAAGCAGTCTAAGAAAAAGAAAGACTAAATTAAAATTGTACGGGAATGGTGAGAAGAAAACAGACTTGACTATAGTATCTGTATTTAGAAGGTATGTTTGGTAGGTTTTGCTGACTGAATGTATATGGGAGTCAGAGGGAAGAATGAATTTTTGCATTGAATGCCTGTGTGGATAACAGTAACATTAACAGAAAACTGGATAATGGAGAAAAACCAGATTGGGATGGATGATGAGTTTGGTTTTAGATATGTTATGTTTGGGGGTGTTTGTGGAACATATAGCTAAATCCAGCATGCAATTGGCTATACCAGGCTGACGCTCAAGGGAGAGCTCAAAGCTTGGCACGAAGTAGTCATTATCCCAAGGAACACTGATTTTAGTGGTTGCTCCTTACTTATTACGATGCCATTTCTATGTTTTCCAGCATTCAGTTACAATATTTAACATGACCCCAGTATAAAGTGAGGATCCTACCCTTTGTAGGGTTCCTAATGTAATGTAGTATAAATACACACTATATAGTTTAAAATAATGCTTCTGTATAATGTTATTTACCTGTCAAACATTTATTGAGCACTATCATGTATGCTGGGAATTGTATTAGCAGCTCCACATAGGGAGATGAATAAGATAGTCCCTGATTTCAAGGGTTTTACAATCTAGTCAAATATATAGGGATGCATAGAAATTAACTTACCAAGTGAGGTAAGTTCAAGTAAAAAACATATACAAAGTATAACAGAGGAAGGAACAATTCATTCTCTTTGTGTATTGAGTGTCAGGAAAATTTCCTAAGATTTAAAAATGACTTCTAAAATGCCTTTTTAAAGGTGAAGAGGGCTCTGTTGGGTTAACGAGGGACAGCAGTGGGGAGGAAGAAGGAATACTTTGAGCAGAGAAAATAGTATGGTTCCTTGTGTCACAAGTAAACAGCTGATGCATTTGGGTGTTGCCAGGGGATGGAATGGAATGGTTAGAGACGTAGATGAAAGCTATTCACACAAATTATGCAGATACTTTTCCACACACAGCAGTCACTTATTTAAAGGTTTTCATATAAAATAGTACCTTTGAATTATGGAAGGAAAAAAGGATGGCAGGTGGAAGAATTGGAAATGAAAAGTAAAGGGTGGAAGCCACATGGACAACCAAGGTCAGGTTTAAACTCAGCATCCATGTGAATGAGTTTCATCATAAGGCGGCACTCATCACCTTCATGCACATTTCAGGCAATTTTTTTTTTACCTAGATTGACTAGTACTTAAATGAGCCTCTGTCTCAAAATAGCCATTTTCTATTTTCTGTTCTTAAATGCTAATACTAATACAAATACTAATGCTGATGTTCTCTCATGATATTGTCTCATTTCTTGATTCTTTTTCCACCGGGGCTTGTCAGCTGTGGTGCTGACACTGCACTTAATTCCTGTTCCCTGCTTCTTCTTCACTTGACAGATTCCCAAAGGATCTGTTATGCTTCTTAACTGTCAAGGTCTCTGCCATAGAATTCAGTGACAGCTTCTTTAGGTATGGTTTTCTGAAAGGGGTGATGTGTTGAAATCTTTTGTGGTCTGTGTAACTTCTAGCAATGGCTCATATATCGTCATGCTCATTAAACATTTTATACTACACTAACTTTGCAGAGTGGCTTGCCATGTATTGTGTGTCTTTTTGCATAAACATTTCCAGAACGTAAAGATCATAAGCTCAGCTAAAAGTCCCTACATAAAACTCACAAGGACTTCTAAGGATGCTCAAAGATGTACTTCTAAGCTGAAGAAGTCGAACTTGCAATTCACTTCCTGGCAACAAATTTTGTGATGCAATAAAGGCTACGAGGAGATAATTATAATGCTCATCAAAATCTCATGTTTCTCAGGAGTTTTGTGTTTATATTTGGTGATGAATTGTTTCTGATCCTCTTTAAAAATAAGATAGATTTTT